CTGCCCTCTCCTGTAGAGTCGTGAGTCAGAATTGACCCTATGGCAGTGAGTTTGGTTTTTCGAGTAAAGGAGCAGCAATGGTTTTTCAATTTATGAAGAATTCTAACAGAACGGCAAGGTTACAACAAAGAAGAGCAGGGCACACGAAGCTCCGGTGCAAGACGAGGGCCCAGGGCAGCCTCACTCCAGGAGCCATTTTGTTTCATTCACACTGCCAACAACATGATTTCCCCCCAAGTTATCTAATTTTTAAGCGAATCCTAGCTTATTCTATAAATATGTTAGCATGTATTTCTAAAGTTTTGTGGTATGATATACCACCTTCCTCTGTCCTCTGAATTTCTTGTACATCGCTTGTTATATCTAGACTCTGGTTTTTCTCTGTGAAAACTGCCTTTGTAGTTGTGCTATGTTCTTTTTCCTGAGCTGGCACACAATGTTTGGTTAGCTCTTACATGGTTAGCAGTCAGTATTCAATGCCTAGATCTATTAGTTCATCCGGTACTATAAAATAGTGATTCCTTCCTTGCATATTTATTATCTGGAATTCTTCTATAAATGAATAACTTTCTCAGCAGTATGGTTTGCAGAGGAAAACAATAGTAAATGTTAGATTCTTTTACTGGATTTCTAAGTCTTCAGAATAGTGAGCTGGTTCTGTATCATCCTCCTTTAATATAGAATGGCTTTGTTTTACATAGGTATCATTCTGATAGAAAGGTTGATGTGTTCCAATCCATAACAGTTGCTTTTATTGTTAATGTTCAAAATAACCCATTTTTGACAAGAGGGGTCCCTTCAAGCTGTATTCTGACTCATTGTCACACAATCCTAGTGGACTTTGAAGTTACCAGTCCTTGTTCACAGCCTTCCCCTTCTCACATTGACTTCTTCATCTTGTTCTAAATAAATTTTTTCTCAGATTATGAACAGCCTCAATTTCTGATTTGTCTTGCATCTACCTCATAGATTGTTAAAGTTGTTGAATGAATCAATCACTGTCCAGCAGTTGGGACAACACCGGCATAGAATATTGTATTATCATTCATTTAAATAAGTAGTATTTCTCTCATGTTACTTGCCTCCATGCCTCTTTATCACCCCACCCTTTTCTCCTTCTCTTCAATCTCAGAGTACGACTTCGCTTCCCAGGCTGGTCTGTAAGTATTCCATTCCCTCAACGCCGGGAATGGCCTCTGCCTAATTCCACAGCGGAAGCATTTCATTAGGGACAATGCAAACTCACCACCTACTCTCCACTCGCAGACCCCACAAGCCCTCCACAAACACCCGTGGCAAGCAGTAGGCACAGCGTCCTCATTCGGGACATCTCTGCTGAACCCCTAGTAAGTTAACACAATGACTAGTCCCCGTGTGTGCCAGGAACATTGACTTCAACTGTTCTAATAAGATAATTAGCTCCCCCCTGATCTAAAAGATAATTAGCTTCCTGGATCAAAGACAACGTAACTGAGAGGAATTCCTGAAACCCAAATGCATGATGAACATGATAGTGTGACAAGAGGAAAGTGAAAAGAAATAGAGGAAAGAACTAGGAGGCAAAGGGTATCTATAGAGATCTAAATACAGGCATATACAGATGTAAACATATTCACATATGATGAGAGGGAAATAGATCTATGTATATATATTTATAGGTTTAGTATTAAGGAGACAGATGGACAGTGGGCCCCTACTCAAGTACTCCCTCAACACAAGAACACTTTGTTCTAACAATTCGGCAGTCTGAG